TTCATCCTTAGCCCCTGCCTAAATGTCAATAGTAAGTCTTGCTCATTAAGAAAATTTTAAAAAATGGCTATAGGGAGCAGTACTACCATTCTTTGAAAACTATTGCCATATGATCAAGTATTAAGGGTGGAATTTTAAAAGGATTTCCTCTCACAAGGAAGAGGCTGCATCAGGGGTCAGAGCAGGTATTCAGTACCTAAAGTATCAACAATAACTTGGGTACGAAGTGCAAAGAAAATTACCCAGAACAATTAATTGGGATCTTGAAAATCTCTTTGATTTTTACTCTTCTTTCCCTCTAAAATCAGAGAATTTCAGGGGTGGGTGGTATTTCATGGTCTCTGGATGAACAATGTGAAGGACTGGGGCCAAGGACAAAGCATCAAATGGCAAGTTCATCTTTTTTTGTTTCTGTTCTTTAGCCACCTAGGAACATATGGAGTTTTTACAAATGCTGCATTTGACCCAAGCCCTTAAGGTAAGTTGCCTATGGAGGTATTTTTGAAGGAAATAGACAGTTGGAAAAGGAAAAATATAAAGCTTGCCTTTTCTTTATATAATCAGGAGTTACACTTTAAGCATGTTTTAAAGTTCAGACTATGCAGAAAACTGTGTTGGCAGTAGGAGACAGGTATAGCAATAGAGTGACTATAGACAGTGAGTACATAGGAGAATTTCCATTTACTCCAGGATATAAATGTTCTAATTAGACATAACTTATTTCAGGATGTATGACATTCCCATTACTGGCTGCTAAATGGTACTGATCCTGTGGCCTTGCTTGATCACCAGAAATCATGAGAACTAGAAAAATTTTACAAACTTTATGGAGCCAGTTCCCTATGCAATCTGCTGGGAAAACAAAAATCATATGATATTGTCATATAATTATAAAAAATAATACGATATTGTCATATATTATAATGTTATATTATCATATATACCATATATGATAATACCTTCTTTCTCCCCAAAAGCTCAGTGAGTGGTTAAGTTTCCTAAATAGCCTAAATGACAGAATATTTGGAATCTAGAAAAAGATTATACAAAGCCTTAGAGGGTACATATGATGAGAGCTTTCTTTCATCTTTTTCAGGAAAATACAATAATTTTAATTTCTGCTGTCATTTTCAGAGACCTGTCCTTGTCTTGATGACCTCGTCCAACTGCCACAGGATCCTATTTTTGAACATCAGCTTTCCCGAAAAGACTTGATTATAACTGTTGAGTGTTTGCTGCAGTTTTCTGTAAATACTTGTGAATAAAGGACGTGGAATTTCCTTTAGATTAGTTCTGCACCAGAGCAGAAGGACTGGATCACAAGCCCCAATTCTCCACACACCACCCTTTCCTGCTCCATTTCCTCTTCTTTCAACACAAGCTCAGAAGCTGGGACTGAGTCTTTCTGCGGTGGTCTCTGGGCTTTGACCTGGCTGTCACTTTCGGTACTAATTAGCTAGAGCCCAGAGCATGACTCACCAGAAGACCAGACTGGAAAAATAAAAATGCCTCTTTATTTGTGGACTGGAGGAGGTTCTCCTCTCCTTTGTTGGAAGGCAGGAGGTGTCTCTGACTTGGGGGAATTTCTATAGGATTTCCTGGGTCTTCAGTGCTTGCTGTTCTTGAAGCCTTTTGGACTTCCTTGAAGCTCCAAGAGAGGCCTCTGGATGGCACCAGAGGCTGCAGGAGACTGCTGCTCCAGACAGGAAGGTACACATGGTTCTAGACCTTCCCTCCGCCGTCACCCTCCCCCAGAGGACCCAGAGACCAATCCTTGAATGTATAGTTAAAAGGATTCCCCTAAATGCTTTGTTCTAGTGTTTGATATTTTGCTGAATAAAGTCTGTATACATCACTTTGTTGACATTAATGTAATACACAATCATGGTTGTCCCAATTACAAACTCGAGACTAGAGTTGGCAAATGTGTATCTTACCACCACCCTAAACACACAAGAAGAAAATCAGAGAAGCAGAAAAGTCTTCATCACCTGAATGTGTTTTACCCATTCTTTGATTCACATATTTAATAAATATGTTATTAAAAATTACACAGTACTTATCTGAAACTGATAGAAAAAATACAGAGCCAAACAATATAGCTGTCCTTTCTGTGAAAAGTGAAGCAATGAACATGTTACACAGACTAGGTAAACATGCAAATAAAAATGCAAATAAAACACGCAGATAAAAATGGTGAAACAGTCTAACTAAAGGTTACAAGGTTTTGCAAGAATTTTGGTAGTAACCTTGAGATTTACGGACACACTGCTTTTAAAAGGTTTCACTCACATGATAGTGCCCACAGCAAGTCTAACTGCTCACGTTATGCTGATCACTAGGCTCAGTTGATCACTAGGTTCAGAACTAGCTGATCACTAGGTTCAGTTGGTAAAGAATCTGCCTGCAGTTCAGGAGGCCTGGGACCGATCCTGGGTTAGGAAGATCCCCTGGAGAAGGAAATGGCAACCCACTCCAGTATCATTGTCTGGAACATCTCATGGACAGTGGAGCCTGGTGGGCTGCAGTCCATGCAGTCACAGAGTCGGACACTACTGAGCGATTAACACTTACTTACTTAGGCTCAGTATTATAGGAGGATGATTATCAGCCCTGTGTTCTGAGTCAGAATCTATATTTTGTAAAAATACCCCCCACCAGGGAATTCTGATGGCTTACCAGCTTTGTAAAGCACTGATAGTATAGATGAAAAAGGATATGGCACCATTCCTATTCTTCAGTAGCTGATAATGTAACTGGGGACACAAGAGACAACAATACAAGTGACAGAAATAAGTATGTTATTTGAAGAGTGTGGTAGAAATTCATTAAATGGAAAAGTCAATTTGTCCCAGAATCAAGGAGATAGGTGAGATTCTGATTGGAATTTAGAGAGTGGACAGTAAAGAGTAAGAGAATAGCATTCTTAGTAGATCAAATAATGTCAGCCAAGAAGCAAAGACAGGTTTTTGAGGAGCCTGACATCATGGAGAACCCATGTGAGGTGCTAGATTACAATTTATTGAGAACTATTGTGACAAATCCTCTGTCCATGGGACTTTTCAGACAAGAATACTGGAGTGGGTTGCCATTTCCTTCTCCAGGGGATCTTCCCAGCCCAGGGATTGAACCCACGTCTCCTGCATTGACAGGCGGATTTTTTACCACTGAGCCACCAGGGAAGCCCCTGACACAGTCATAGACAGAGGCTTGGAGGCAAGTAGATGCAGGGAGCCTGGGATAAGTCACAATGATGCTTCAGACAAGATAATTCTCAGATTCTCTATACATAGCAAAATCATATCTTAAAGCCATGAGAAACAGCCAGCTCCTCTGAGATACGTAAGGAGCCCTGGAGGCAGAAAAGATATAATCATAGTAATCAACATGTGCTATGTGCTTTCCAACTTCTGGGAATTACATACTTCACAGTGTTCCTTTATCCTCCCAACCACACTATTGGGGAAAATTATTATTATCATCCTTATTCTCCTGATGTCAAAACTGAGATCAGAGAGGTTGTGAAACTTATCCAAGAGAACACAGCTAGTAAGTGGGATTGAAATCTGGTCTGATTCTCCCAGTGAAACTCTTTAAGCCCTCTCTGTCATTACTGCCTTAGGTGGTCACAGGCGCGTATCAAGATAGAATTGTGCAACAGACAAAGACAAATGGCATATGATATCATTTACATGCAGAATCTAAAAAAATGGAACAAATCAACATATTTACAAAACAGAAACAGACTCCAAACCCAGAAATCAAACTTAATGAATACCAAAGGGGGAGAGGGGAAGGATAAATTAGGAACTTGGGATTAAAATATATACACTAAATATAAAATGGGCTTCCCTGGTAGCTCAGATGGTAAAGCATCTGCCTGCAATGTGGGAAACCTGGGTTTGATCCTCGGGTCAGGAAGATCCCCTGGAGAAGGAAATGGCAACCCATTCCAGTACCCTTACGTGGAAAAGTCCATGGATGGAGGGGCTGGTAGGTTACAGTCCATGGGAGAGTCGGACACAACTGAGCAACTTCACAGGATCATATGTATAAAGTAGATAAATAACAAGGACCTACTGTATAGCCCAGGGAGCCATACTCAATATTTTATAACAACCTACAAAGGAAAAGAAACTAAAAAAGATTATATATATTTATACTGTTGTTTAGTCACTAACTTGCATCTGACTCTTTGTGACCCTATGGACTATAGCCTGCCAGGCTCCTCTGCCCATGGAATTTCCCAGTATGGAAATTACTAGAGTGGGTTGCAATTTTCCTTTTCCAAGGGATCTTCCCCACCCAGGGATCGAACCTATCTCCCCTGCCTTGGCAGGCAGATTCTTAACCACTGAGCCACCTGGGAAACCCATATATGTACCACTTTGCTATAGAGCTGAAAGGAACACAATATTGAATCAAGATAGACCTGTGCAAGGGTAGAAGTTAGTAAAGTGAGCCAGGCCATCAGGCTCCATTCATGTGATCACCCCCTTGCTTCCTCACCACCTGAAAATACAGTATTTCTGTGCCCAGTAATAGGGCATAATGCCCTCTTCCTCAGATCAGAAGGAGAGTAGTGTGGTTAAGGATTTTGGGTCCCACCACGATGGGAAGTGCTGAGGGTCTGGCAAGTGTGAACTCTGCCCTAGGCAGCTTTTTTGGTGGCTGGGGCTGGTGAGGGGCTCCTGGGCAGTGGGCTGAGCAGATGGAAGTTGGGAGACAGTTTTACCCCTTCTCATGAATCCCTGAGGACTGCCTGGCTGCTAGAATCTCCAATCACCGCCTTTCCTTCACCCGTGGTAAAACAGTCACTAACTCGCTGGCTCTTCCTAATACCTCCTGTCATCTGGGGCAGTGACCTAGCCAACCCTCAGCCTAGAGAGGCCTGAGGAGGTGGGGACAGCCCTGGGTGTAGCCGCCAGCGGCGCCTGGGGGAGTTGGCGAGGAGGAGGACACTGCCACCCGCAGCCTCCGGGAGCTCACTGCAGCCCGGACAGCTGACAGCCTCGCAGAGGCAGCCCTGCCCACCCCCGGGGTGGTGGCGGCAGGCAAGAGAAGGAAAGCAACCATGCTTCCCGCTTGCCCTGGCCTCTGGCTCCTCGTGGTCCTAGGCACCAGCTGGGCAGGCTGGGGGAAACTAGGGGCTGAAGCAGCGCGGCTAAGGCAGTTCTACGTAGCTGCTCAGAGCATCAGATGGAACTACCGCCCTGAGTCCACACACCTCAGGTAAGGCAGGCGGGGTGTCTGGATGGGCTTCTCCGGGAAGGATAATCCATTTCTTTTCGAGAGCATTCCTTTTACAGTTCCACTGGGGTGTGTGTGTGTGTTTAACTTCAGATAGGTAAATACAATTAATAGGAGGGTTTAATGAATAAAATTGGTGGATGCTCATTTTGCCTCTAATAATACAGTGTAATATTCCAAGGGTTCAGAAAATATTGTTTGGCTAGATACTGCTTTCAAGAGCTTGTTGTTGATATAATTTTGTTAGTATCATTGATGGTTGGTTTAATATATTGATTGATTCAAAAGCATCAGGTACCTACCTCTTCATCAGCTGCAAACTCCTGTTCCAGATTTTTAGTAGCTTAGTATTTTTAGTATTTTAGTAGTTTAGTATTTTTATGAAGGGCTTCCCTGGTGGCTCAGAGGTTAAAGCATCTGCCTGCAATGCAGGAGACCTGGGTTCAATCCCTGGGTCGGGAAGATCCCCTGGAGAAGGAAATGGAAACTCACTCCAGTATTCTTGCTTAGGAAACCCCAATGCACAGAGGAGCCTGGTGGACTATAGTCCATCAGGTCACAAAGAGTTGGACACAAAACTTCTAGGTACATACTATTTATCCTATATCCACTTAGCCTCATCTTCTAAAACTAAAGATATGTACCTTGTAACTTCATTATAAGCAGATTATTCAGTAACAACTGCCAAACTGTTGTTGCCTTCTTATCAATGACTTTCAAAATATCATCAATTCATAAAAATCCAACATTATGTTTCTTTTACCTTTTTTTCTGTTTCACATGGCTCTTTATTCTTCTCTCATTCTTTATCAGACCCTAGGATATGGTCTACCCTGGCTATTTTGATAAGAGTCACTATTAAAAGACTTATGTAACTAACTGAAAGTGAAAATGAAGTCGCTCAGTCGTGTCCGACTCTTTGCGACCCCATGGACTGTAGCCTACCAGGCTTCTCTGTCCATGGGATTTTCCAGGCAGGAATACTGGAGTGGGCTATCAGTTCCTTCTCCAGGAGATCTTCCCAGCCCAGGGATTGAACCCGGGTCTCCCGCATTGTAGGCTGACGCTTTACCGTCTAAGCCATCAGGGAAGTCCATATATGGCTAAGACAAGGGTTAAATACGTAACTAAGACAATAGTTAAATAATAAATCTCTATCTGAGTTGCATACTCTTTTCCTAATGGAAAGATTAGAAATAAGATTTCCCAGAAATTAAAGAAATCACAGGTTCTACTCAGTATTTCTCTGAATAGTAAACCTCTTAGTGTATCTAAGATTTTTTTTTAACTTAACATCACAGTTTAAATGATTGTGCAAGATGTGTTCCTGTTTTACAATTTCGAAACAAAAGCAATCTGCCAGGAAAGTATTGTGATGTTTGAAGCCTTTTAGCGCATAACATGGGATTCTCTGGTGGCTCAGACGGTAAAGCGTCTGCCCGCAATGTGGGAGACCCAAGTTTGATCCCCGGGTCGGAAAAATCCCCTGGAGAAGGAAATACAATCCACTCCAGTACTCTTGCCTGGAAAATTAAATGGATGGAGGAGCCTAGTGAGCTACAGTCCATGGGGTGACGAAGAGTGGGACACAAGTGAGTGACTTTTGACTTTCAGTGCATAACATTAACCCTTTCAAAATCTTTTCTCTGTAACTGGATTATTTCGGAGGGTGTGGTAGCTTGGTCTTGTAGTAGTAATTCCCTCTTTAAAAAAAATCATTTAAAATATTGTATTTCAAGGTGATACTCTAGGTCCCACCCACACCCTTTGAGAGCCGATACTAACGAAAACCCCAAAGGAAATAGCAGTCTTTCCAGCATCTATTTTCCTGCTCATGGATAGAACACTAGCTTAGATGCTGGCTTTCCTATGTCATGCTTATGCTCGCTTATACTTGGGAGTTTGTTCTTTCTTTTGCAATTAACAATGGGAATAACAAGCTGAATATTGAAGGCAGAATCACATAGGGCAATAACAAGCTGAATAATGGAGGAGGCGGAATCACATAGGGAAACACCCTGATTTACATTGTGAGTTCTCAAAAGAAGCTATGATTGGTCATCCTAAACTCTCACTTTTTGATAGAGTTTCCAGAATTCTTGTAATAGTTGCTCCTCTGGTATCAATTATTGAGTCAAAACCAAACAGTGATAATCCAGATCAACTGTCAATACTTTCAAACCTCAAATCATGTCATTTCTTTCTAGTACTTCTTTTTTTTTAATTTATTTATTTTTAATTGAAGGATAATTGCTTTACAGTATTGTGTTGGTCTAGATGGACAGGGAGGCCTTGCGTGCTGCGATTCATGGGGTCGCAAAGAGTTGGACATGACTGAGCGACTGAAGTGACTGACTGAGTAATTCAGTGTGAAAAATCTAACCTGTATATCTGGCTGCTTAAACTAAGAACTTGTTTTAAATTGTCCTACACTGAGAGCTAATGATACTATAAAGAAATTAACATCCTTCATTTCCTAAAGTGTATTTTAGCACCAAGCAAAAATCTTTCCTTATTTCATGTAATATTGGCACAGCAGTGCCTTTTAGTGGTGAAATATATCTTTTATTTTTACTCTGGAGCTAAAGTGAATATTTTTGAAAATTTCCCTAAGGAAATATGTTTAATCACTTTTATGCATATAATAACAGATATTGAAAAAAATAGATGTACATTGGTCTCTGAAGGGTTTAAGCTTTATATGATTTTATTATGAATAAATCATCTTTAAATAATTCTCATAAATGGAAAATTCATCATGCATATTGTTTGAATTCATCTTTAACTTTCTGCTCAGACTGATTATTTTCCAATAGCAATTCAGTTGTTTGAATTAAAAATAAATATATCTCAGAATGCACACACAATATACACAGGGAAACATATTAGGAAGCACACCTCTATTAAAATTACTCTACATAAAAGACTGATTTTTCTTAGTAAAGGTTTTATACTGTCATCTGTACTCCTGTATTTAAAGAGCTATGGTTAGGGACAGGAAACACGTTTCAATTGCACCCTTCCAAGAAAAAGGACCTCCACATTATGGACACAAACTAACATATACAATCCTAGGGTTCTTGGGCTCTATAAACTCTTAAGAGGTCATTTAATTTCAACTTGCATGTTTTAACTTCCTACTTTTTCCCAAACGCAAAGCACCCAAAGCAGTTTGTAAATAATTGTCTAGTTTCTACTTGAATGCTTCCAGTGACTGAGAACCCACCACTTCTGTAGCTAGCCTTTCCAAAAATACTTATGCATGCCTCTTTTAAATCTGCCTTCAAATATTAACACAGTTCTTGTATCCCACATTTTGAAATTATGAGAACTACTAAAATTACAGATTTTTCTGCTTGCTGGGAAAACATGAAAGCTAAAAATAAACTTTCATTATACTTTTAAGGTATTACTAGCTGATGTGCATTGAATATTTACAATGTGCCAGCTCTAAACCCTTTGTAGGTATCAATTTATTTAAAACTTGTAATAATTCTTGAGGGAGATTTTACTGTTGGTCCCAGCTCACAATTACAGAAACAGAGGCATAAATGGATTAAATAAACTTTTCAAGGTTATACAGGTAACAAGGGGTAGATACAGGATTCAAACCCAGACACTCTGAACATAAAACCAGTTCTCTTAGCCTCTGTGCTACATAAATATCATAGCAAGTGTGATTAGTATCTTTCTATGTTACGACCTAGTTATACTGGGCCACTCTCTGGATTAGGAAGCATAACAAAGCCAATATGGGCAACTGGTTTACACATCTGTAAGAAATTTCCCCCAATTATCTTTCCTTCTGGGCTCCCCTCGTGGCTCAGATGGTAACGAATCTGCCTGCAGTGTAGGAGATCTGCGTTTGATCCCTGGATTGGAAAAATCCCCTGGAGCAGGGAATGGCTATTCACTCCATTATTCTTGACTGGGGAATCAGACGGACAGAGGAGCCTGGTGAGCTGCAGTCCATGGGGTTGCAAAAAGAGTCAGAGACGGCTGAGCAACAAACACTACTGCTATTATCTTTCCTTTTACCTTTAACTTTGAGTTTAAGACAAGGATGGGAATGACATGCCCATCTTTAGAGACACAGAAGGAAAGGATGGAAATTATCCCAGTACTCTCCTTGCTGTCCTCTCTGAATTCTTAACCATGGAAACAGTTGGCCCTGTGCATCTGTGGATATGAAAGCTGCAGATACAGCCGGCTAACTGTACTCTCATAGAAGGGACTTGAACATCTGCAGGTTCTGGTGCCAGGGGTGTCATGGAACCAACCCCTACAGATACCAGGGATGACCCTAAGTAGTTTTTGAACCTTGGTTTTGCCATTATCAGCGGTTTCTCCTCAGGCAAGTTACTTAAACTTAGTTTTTACGTTTGTTTGTTTCCTATATGAATCCCAGGGCTTTGACTCCATTGGCCATCTTCAGCTTCCCAGCAAGAAAGAGTCCATTACATCAACAGTGTTTTACAGTGCTCCCTAGCAGCTTGGGCTTTCCTGGTGGCTCAGGCAGTAAGCAATCTGCCTGCAATGCAGGAGATGCAGGTTCAATCCCCGGGTTGGGAAGAATCCTGGAGAAGAAAATGGCAAACCACTCTAGTATTTTTATCTAGAGAATTCCATGGACAGAGGAGCCTGCTGGGCTACAGTCCATGGGGTCACAAAGAGCCAGACATGACTGAACAACTAACACCAGCAGCTTAAAACTGTATATGAATGATGAGTTGAAAAGCAGCTCATATATCTATTCATAAGGAATTTGGCCATATCTTTAATCATTTAAAATACAAGCCGAAAGTTTGGTTGTTTTTTTAAGAAATTTGATCTGAGTAATAGGGTTGGTTAATGCAAGATAAATTTGTGGAAGAATGGTTATCACAATAGAATATTCTCAAAGACATCAATCATTATTTTATTAACTTCACTTATTGTTCATATTTATAAGACCTAGGGTTTCTGAAACACAGTTTAAAAATACTGTTATTTCTAGTAAAGGTTTGGGGACATGAGAGATCTATTTTGTTGTACTGTGAGTAGATGTCACAGTAGCCTTTCAAATGTATTTTATTTCCAGTTCAAAATCTTCTGAAACCTCCTTTAAGAAAATTGTCTACAAGGAGTATGAAGCAAATTTTAAGAAAGAAAAACCACAATCCAGAACTTCAGGTAAGCCTGAAATATATTTTTAAATTTTAAAGATAAAACTCTATGGCTAATTTGATATTCACATATATCTTACAGAAATGTGTTTTTGTTGTTTTTAACCAGTGTGACTACATAATTTGTTGGGCTCTTATTCATAATATGGAGAATTTCAAAACAGTGACAGCAAAGCCTTAAGCCAAGCTAGGGGCCCTCCTGAGCATGGGGCCCTGTGCAATTTCATGGGTCACATGCCTATGAAGACAACTGTTTTTAACATTGATTTTAAAAAGCTAAACAAAACTTTTGAGTGTTTGAATTTTTATTCATTCATCTAGCAAACCATTAAAGAGCACCTGCTGTGGGCTGGGCATTGAAATAGGCACTATGGATGTCATGGTGGACAAGACAAATGCATCTCCTGCCTTCATAGAGCTTATGGTCTAGTTTAATGAGCACAAATGAGCTTTAGCAAATGATTATTTGCTGAGTCCTGAAATTCATTTAAAGGAACTGTATATGGCTGATTTTTTTTTTTTGCATCTATCCTTCTCATCTCTTTTTTATTTAGTGTGATATGCATAATAGCTATAATTTTTAAAGAAAAAAGCTTTTCTCTTTTCCTCAACTCTTTTTCAATTAAGGAAAGTAGGCTGAATGGGTTTCTGGGAACTCAAATGTGGTGAATATGGTAACATAGTTCACAGGACTGATAAAGGGCATTAAGAGACAACATCCTCCAGTTAGGTCCCCTAGTTGATAATTCACACATCCTTCCCCCTCTAACCAGGTGAAGACCTGTCATTTTCCCCAGACTCATCCTTCTACATCCTTTATTCACTGCATCTTGTCCTGCCTCCTCTTTGGATCTCTGTTCATCTTCAATTTTTCCTTAACTGGAGGCTTCCCTTCTGTCAAAAATCCTCAAAAATCAAACAGGACACAATTTATGTCCAGGTTAACCACTGTCTAGAAAAAAAAAAATCTGCCCTTGACTCTGCCTGCCTTTTCTTCCCTCTTTTACTACCAACTTCCTGTGTGATTGGTGCATTTCATTCTCTATCATATCAAATTACTCTCAAAAAAGGGCACCCGTGACCTCTGAGATGGGACTTCGCCCGTGGTTCAGTAGTAAAGAACCTGCCTGCCAATGAGGAAATGTGGGTTTGATCCCTGGTGCAGGAATATCCCCTGGAGAAGGAAATGGCAACTCACTCCGGTATTCTTTGCTGGGAAATCCCATGGACAGAAGAGCCTGGTAGGCTACAGTCCATGGGGTCACAAAGAATCAGAAACAACTGAGACACTAGAAGACAATAATGACCTCAAGAAACCAGACCAAAGGGTGCTGTCCATTTATTTTCCCGTTTAACATTACTAGGACACGTAATGCTCTCCCTTCTTGAAATTCAGTCATTACCTGTTGTCCCTGGCGCCACTTCCTCTGGTGACAGAAATCGAATGGAAGTGACTGGAATATGAGGAAATGGGAGTAGGAGGAACTTATATAGATAACTCTTTCCTGAAACTTGGCTCCAAATGGGAGGAGAGATAGGGTAGTTCTGGGAGGAAATAAGAGGTTTAAGCATATTTTAAGAGTTTTATTTTATTTTTAATTTATTTATTTGGCTTCATTGGGTCTTGTGGCATGAGGGCTCTTTGATCTTTGCAGCATGTGAGATCTTAGTTGCGGCACGGAGGTCTAGTTCCCTGACCAGAGATTGAATCCAGGCCCTGTGCCCTGGCAGCGCAGAGTCTTAGCCACAGAACCACCAGGGAAGTCCAAGAGTTTCATTTTCAAAAAGAATGACAGTGACTTAAAATATCTAAATTCCCAAGGGAAGAATCCTATAGAAAAGGAGAGGATAAAACATCTGAGGGAGAATAACTGAAAGAACCAGGCTCAGAAGAAACAGGAAGTGATGGGATTCAAAGCTGGGCTGGATGGGCCTGAGATAGAAGAGATACTGCTCTCATGGGGGAACTGGCTGGGGGGGCCCTAGCAAAGGACAGGTGAGCAACCGTTTATTAATAAGTTTACTAAAAATTGCTTGTAGTTTTGGGCAGGAACTTTAAGGAGCTTCTGTCCTCTATAGACTCTGTAAATTTTTTTTTTATAGATCCAGCTTTAAGCTTAATATGTACAATAAATACTTAAGAAAGATTTAATGAAACTAAATTGTAGGTGGGTAAGGGAAAACGAGCTGGGAAACATACTCATTATGCCTGGAAAAAGAGGAATTGGGCAGATATTCAGAGTTCTCTTTTTTGTGGCTTTTGCCAAGTGAACTGAATTTGTCTGTGCTGTGTTAGCCACTTGCTGAGCGCAGTAAGGGGTAGAAGGACCAGTGCCAGACTGGAGGCTGTCTTTTAGGTGATACGTAGGCACTGATCAGTTTTGAAGAGGAGAACACTGTGGTCCAAATCCTTGGAGATGATTAATTTTGTAGTGATTTCCTGATTCAACCTCATTAGAAGTAGAACTTAATAGCTGATTTATGTTTAAGCCTAGGACACTTAAAACATTACTTTTCTGTCAACCCCTGTATATCCCATATTTGTTTTATGTGAATTCTGAGGAATTTTAATATCTATTTTTATGCAACCTCTTCCTGAAAGCCCAAAGTTGCTTAATTATGAACCCCTGGAGCACAGGGGCTGTATCTTATTCACCTCTATATCCCTCTAAGAGTTGACTGTTGTTTAGTTGCTAAGCCATGTACAACTCTTTTGCGACCCCATGGACTATAGCCTGCCAGGCTCCTCTGTCCATGGGATTTCCCAGGCAAGAATACTGGAGTGGGTTGCCATTTTCTTCTCCACTAATAGTGGAGGGAAAAATCTAGTGTAAATGAAAAGTCTCAGATTTTTAATAAGATCTGGTGTGAACACTGCCACTGACTACATGGTCTTCTCCATTCCATTGCCTAGTTCTGTGTTCTTTGTATCTTTCCCTTATTTCCTGCTCCACTCATCTGGTGGGTATGATTCTAGCCATGTGCTGCATTTCTGTAGCATGAACCCAGAAATTTTTGTAATTACAGGTGGGGTCAAGCTACAGGACAGGAATTTTGAAGAGATGCCTATGCAGTGAGGTTTATGGACACATGGACAGATGGAGGGGCCAGGCTCATTTTTAGGAATCCTGTTTGGGGCTTTAAAATGACTAGTTTTGAGTCTCTGTATTTTCAAGGAGGATTATGAAATGTTTGTCCCCAAAGGGGTTTTATAATAGCAGCAACAATGGGCTGCCTGTGTTCCGCGACACATTATTCACCTGAGAGCAGGGGATTGGGTTAGCTTACCTCCTGCAGTTTTCATTCCAAAACTGCATGAAATTGGGTACAGGCTGTGCTACCTTCCTGGGATCTCAGGACAGGCCACTCTTTCCACCAATTTGACATTGGGCACCAAAGAAAAGGCAAAGAAGGTCTTAGGCCATCTGGTTGATGGAGGATCTAAATGGCAGCTCAGACAACATTCAGCCGTGTTTGCCTCCATGCATGAAGGTATTTGGTTTGCATTTGTAAAAATACCCCTTTGTTTTGCTTTAATTCTGAAGAAGCAGATAGGGAGGCTAAACAAATATTCCTAACCACTCATTGTAATAAGAGGTTAAATAACTTAAAAGACTTATTCTGGGCATTGGGCATGTGCAGCCATGTGATGCCAACAAATCGACCAAGCAAAGCATTCAGGGTAACAAATTGCAGCAGACCATGTGAGAGCAGTCAGCACCTGACTTGGCTCATGGGCATTCTGGGCAGGTGGGAGTAGCCAGTGGTGGCTTCTGTTGGGAGCTAGGACTGAGGGTATCAGCCAGAAGAGAGGGGTCAGTCAGTAGAGTCAGCTATGGCCAGGAGTGAAAAACAGTGCAGACATGAGGGAGCTGACCTGCCCTGCAGAAGGTGGTAAAAGAAAGCTTGGTTCAAGAGTCTAGAGACCTGAGTTCTAGTCCCAGCAATGCCACCCAATCACTGACTGATCTTGGACACGCCACTCTTCCCATCCGCTTCCCAGACTTTGTAACCATCTCTCAGATGAGGATTCAACTCTGTGGACTCCATGGTCCTATGCAGAACTAACATAAAAACACAAACAAAACGCTTCCGGCACATAGTCAGTGTAAACTCTAGGACTTGGAGCTCAGGGAGTGGAATAAGACAACAGTGGGTGGAAATATAGGACGACCGTCTCAAAGACCACATTTTCTCATTGCTAAAAGGAAATTAGTTTCTTATCATTGCTCTAACAAATTACCACAAACTTAGTGGTTTAAAACAACACAAATTTATTATCTTAAAGCTCTTGAGGCCAGAAGTCCAAATGAGTTTCACTGAGTTAAAATCAAGGTGTCTGTAGAACTCTGTTCCTTCAGGAGGCTTCTGGGGAGAATTATTTCCTTGCCTTTTCCCATTACTACTGATAAAAGCCACCTGCATCCATGGGCTCATGGCTTCTTCCTTCTTCTTCAAAGCCAGCAGGTAGCATCTTCTAGTTGCTAACTCAGATACTCCTGCTTCCCTTTCTGAGAACCTTTATGATTACGTTGGGCCCACCTGGATAATCCAAGAAACCCTCCCCATCTCAACTTCCTTAACTTAATCACACCCACAGAATCCATTCTGCCATATAAGGTAGCATATTTACAGGTCCCAGGGATTAGGTGGTGGGAGGGCATTATCCTGCCTACTACACACCCCCCACCCCACCACCCCCCACCCCCCCGCAACAAAACTCTGCCACAATGTCCTCCATTTCAGGAAATGGCCCCCTCATCCACCCAGCCCTCCAAACCAGAACCTCAGCAGCCATCCATGGCCACTTGATCTCGCTCACCCCCTACTCTACATGCAACCCATCAAGTCCTGACAGTGTGATCTCCTAAACAGCTCTCTAATATGTTCTCTCCTTATTATCGCCATTGTCCTAACCTTGAACTAAATTACCAACATCTCTTTCCTGGAGCCTTCCCTCTGTTTTCTCAGCCTTCACTCTATTTTCTCACAAATGCAGCTGGTCACTGGCTCATGTTGCACCCCTGCTTCCAGACACTACGGTTAAGAGGCAAAACTCTGAGAGGTCTACAAGGCCCTGTGTGATGAGACCTCTGATCATGCCTTTTGCTTCACTTTCTGCCTTTCTCTCTTACCTACAATGCTCTGCCTTCCCATGGCTATCTGCCAGTTCTCTGAATAGGCCAAGTGTGCTGGCAGCTCAATGCCTTTGTACATGCAAGTCCCACTCCCTGGAAGGCTCTTGTCCATCCTTTTGCCTCTTTGCCTTTGAGCTTCAGTTAACGTCTCACTGTGGTGGTGTCGTATTGAATTAATTTTCACAACCATACAGGATTGTAAGAGACAGTGTAGGGAGAGCTCACAATGGAGCAATTCTCCGAGAAAAAGCTGAGTGTATATTTATAAAGTCTCCTTTTTAGACAAGGAAGTCATCTGGTAAGGCTTTGAAGATAAGGAAGTTTGTTCTGCGTGCAGAACAACACCTATCGAGGCTGACGTGTCAGCCAAGATATCTGTCTTAAGGGCATGAGAAAGAATATAAGAAAAGGGTAAGACAGAACAGTCTTCAGAAAACAGGCCCTTGAGAAAGTAACAACATTTATATTTTCATACCTTACTTCCTCAGGGAAGCATTTTCCAACTCTGATCCCCTTCCTGCCTCTAAGAATAGCCTAGAAGCCCCTGTCAAATGCCCTGCAGAGAATCCTATTCTTTTCTTTCATAATACGAACCACAGTTTACAATTAAATATTTGTGTGACCATTTGTTAAAATCTGTCTCGCCTTCTGTTTTCTAAGGTCTTTGAAGGCAGGGGGTACATCTGTTTTACTCACCATTGAAATTCTGACACCTAGGATAATGTGAGCACTCAATATTTCTTAAAGGAATAAATAACTACAATAATAAGAGGTGGTTAAAAAAAGAGGTGGTTAAAAGCTTAGCATCTAGGGTCAGACAGATTTAAGGTTAAATTATGGCTCTGCCTCTAATTAGCTGTATAGTATTGGGTGAGATATTTAAATTCTCTGAGGTTCAGTTTCTTCATCTATAAAATAAGTATCTTAATAACAACCTTAACCATATGCTGGAAGGTTTAATGTAAAGACTTAGAGTGCTCAAATACATCAAGAGGGACAATTACAATTATCTCCATGGCAAATAAACGCTAGGTGAACTCCATGACTACTGTAACTTCCTTCTCCTGCTCCTGTGATTCCTAATGGGCAGAAGCCAGCCCCATGAGAGCTTATGGATGGCTTGGAAGTGAGGACGGTCAACTGTCTGAAAAAGGGCTTTTGGCGACAAGTCTTCAAGCTTTGAAGGACATCAGAAGCACTCAGGAGCACACCTCTAAAATGCAGATTCCCAGACCCCACCTCCAGAGAGACTCAGGTTCACTGGGGCTGGGAGAATACTTACTTGAGAATCTGCCTTTTAGTTCAACCCTTGCTGATTCTGATGCAGAGCGTCCAAGGATTACACTCTGGGAAACTGTAACATACGGTTCTTCAGAAAGCTGAGTCAAAGATCAGGTCTTCCCCAAACTCCACAGACAGAGTTGGTCCTTCACCCTTTCTGCTCCTGGAGCGTTTTGCCATTATCTCAGCGGTAGCTCCTACCATATGTTTCTCTCCCAATGAGCCTGTGAGCTCCTAAAGGACAAGCGCAGTCGCTGATTTATCCATGTGTCCCCAGGACCTAGCACAGCACCTGACATGCAGTGAGTGAAGCCTCACTGTTGATTTCTGCACCCCAATCTGCCGTCCCTGCTGTGTTCCCCATCAAAGTAACTGATGACATGACTTATCCAGTTGCTTCGATCAAAACCCTTAGGGCCACCCTTGACTTCTCTCTCTCAGTGGCCACATCTAACCCCTCAGCAAATTTGCTAGTTCTACTGTCAAAAATCCCAGAATCTAACCTCTTCTCCCTGCTTCACTGCTGCACATGCTGGCCTAACACAGCGTTATCTCTCATCTATACCACCTGGTCTGTGTCCACCATTCTCACTACACAGAATATTTTCTACACAGCAGCCAGGATGAATCTTTCTTGTGATTTTTTTTTTTTTTAGGATGAACTTAAAAAAAAAAAACTTTTTATTTTGTATTGGGGTATAGTGAATTAACAACATTGTGATAGTTTCAGGTGAATAAAGAAAAGACTCAGTCATACATATATGCATACCCATTCTCCCCCAAACTCCCCTCCCACCCAGGCTGCCACATAATATTGAGCAGAGTTCCTTGTACTATACAGTAGATCTTTGTTGATTGTCCATTTTAAATATAGCAGTGTGTACATGTAGGATTAACTTTAAAACATATCAGACCATGTCTCTCTGCTGCACAAAGCTCAGTGATTTTCCATTTCACTTAGGAGAAAATCCAAAGTCCCTACCATGGCCCACAGTGGGTGACCCTAACTTTTCTCACTCTGGCCACACTGATGGTCTCTTCTTTGGATACATCAAGCTCACTCCTGCCTCAAGGACTCTGAACTTGTCTGAGGGCCAGAGAAGTCTGATCTGCTCCCTGACTTCATTTAGGTCTCTGAGGTCTCCCACCTCAGAGAGATCTGAAGTAGTCAATCGCCCTCTCTCACCTCACCCTGTATAAATGAAAGTGAACATCTTTCTTGACCCAAGATGGCAGTCTCCCCAGGAATAACAGTGAATCAGAATGGGGTGGACATGATCAGAACCATTTCTTCTATTTTCTTAACTGGCTTTGGGCTGAAGCCAGGTATTTCTACCTTCCCATCCTTATCTGCCTGCACGGAATACAGAGGTAATGAGCTGGCAAAGCCTTCTAGATTGAAGATAAGCTCATCAACCTCAAGACTGAGAGGAATGACAGCAATCACCTGTGGGGTTTTCTGCATGTTTTTCTTGCTTAGCAGCTCTGTCTTAGCAATTCTGAATACAAACATACTTTAAATTCTTGTTTTCATAGGACTTCTTGGGCCTACTTTGTATGCTGAAGTTGGAGACAGCATGAAAGTTCACTTTAGGAATAAAGCACACAAGCCCTTAAGCATCCATCCTCAAGGAATTAAGTACAATAAATTCTCAGAAGGTAAGAGGAATTTAACATCATATCCCTCTGGCATGGGAAAATGTACAACTCTTTTACCACCAGTGTCAAACATTTTGAACCATATTGTTAATTAAGTTAAGAAAAATCTCCTTTCCTATAATTGGTAATAATAAAAATTGTGCCTTTGTAGATTTCAGAGGAGAAAGTGAAAAACTTCTGGAGTCATCTAGACCTCAGGTTTTTTGCTATGTTCTTGTTTTTTAATAGTTGGATGGGCAGGTTATCTAATCTTTATGAACTCCAATATGTTCCTCTGCAAAATGAGAATAATAATATTGCAAGATGGGTTAAGGCAGGGGTTCAAAAACTTTTTTGTGAAGAGCCAGTAAATACTTTGGGCTTTGCAAGTCATAAAATCTATGTCACAACTACTCAACTCTACCATTTAGTACAAAAGCAGCCACAGACAATATGTAAATGGATGCGCACGACTGTGTCCCGATAAAACTTTATTTACAAAAAACAGGCAGCTGGCTGGATTTGGTCCGTGAGTCATAGTTTGAAATAGTGACATAGGGCTAATCTGACACAGAGCTAGCCTGGCACATGGGTGGCTTCTAATAAGTGATATTCAGTGGTGATAATTGTAATAGATGTAGTATTGAAATTTTGGACATCCTGAAGCAGTTAAGAATATAAACTTTAAAGGCATACTTAGGTTCAAATTCCAGTTTTACAATTTCTGATTCTATGAGAACAGCCTCTCTGAACCTCAGTTTTCTCATCTATAAAATGGGAATGGTTATACTTATTCTATACGATAGCTTTGAGGACCAAATGAGATCACTTAGGTAATGTACTAAATATGGTTCCTGGAACCTGGTAAGCCCCCAGTAAATGATGACAGTGATGGTGAAGATCATGGATATGGTGGAGATTAAAGGGACCACATCAGCCACAGAATGGTAAGTACCTATTGCTGATATTGTTCTGATTATTTCCATTATGTTGATGTTCAGACCACAATAAGCAGAGTAGAGTTCTGCTAGGGACTGATGTAAGAAAATTATCCACACTACAATAGATGTGGGTATAACACCATTTAAAAATAAATTTTAACTTTTCATGATTCACAAATCTTTTCCCCATGTATGCCAGCCATTATACCTTTGAAGAGAAGAACTAAGTAGGAGAGTGGTTTACAATGTAGGTCTGGAACTCGACACCTGGTACAAATTCTGGCTCAGACATTCATTAGCTGTGTGACTTTTGGCAAGAAACTTGACCTCTTTGTGCCTCGTCTTTCTCATCTGTAAAATGGGGATTGTAATCATATCTACCTCATATAGGTTTGTGGTCAAGAAATATTAGAACAATGCCTTGCATATTCTCCAAGCAAGAATTCTGAAGTAGATTACCATGCACTCCTCCAGGGGACCTTCCCCACCCAGGGACTGGACTTTGGCAGGCAGTTTCTTTACCACTAGCGCCACCTGGGAAAGTGAAAGAAAGCCAAGTTGCTCAGTCGTGTCCAGCTCTTTGAGACCCCATGGACTGTAGGCTGCCAGGCTCCTCCATCTATGGGATTTTCCAGGCAAGAATACTGAGTGGGTTGCCATTTCCTTCTCCAGGCCATCTGGGAAGCCCTGCATATAAAATAAGTACTTGATAAATATTAGCAAATAATAAGCACTTGATAATTTTATGATAGTAAAAGTAATTCAATTAAAATGTCTTTAAATTATAATGTTATAATGTCAGGTTTATCTCGATTAAAAATGTTATTTGAAATATGTTCAAATAACTTAATATTTACCTGACAGTATATGATTAGAGGGTTTCCCTGGTGGCTCAGAGGGTAGAGAATCTGCCCTCAATGCTGGAGAACTGGTTCGATCCCTGGGTCAGAAAGATCCCCTGGAGAAGGGTCAGGCTACCCACTCCAGTATTCTTGGGCTTCCCTGGTGACTCACTGGTAAAGAATCTGCCTGCAATGTGGGAGACCTGGGTTCAATCCCTGGGTTGGGAAGATCTCCTGGAAGAGGGCATGGAAACCCACTCCAATATTCCTGCCTGGATAATCTCCATGGACAGAGAAACCTGGCAGGCTACAGTTCATGGGGTAGCAAAGAGTCAGACAGGACTGAGCGACTAAGCACACAGCACATATGGATTAGAAAGTGACTTTTTATTTATTATTTCCTATGTAAATTGCTATCAAACTCATCCTGACAACTCATGACTGATAATGTCAATGAACTCACTTCCCCAGGACCATTAGCATTATCATTTCATCTTTGGCTTGAGGAAAAACAATGAAAACTGAAATTTCAGGCATCTTAGCCACTTTGCAAAACTCTAGGTGAGGTAGCATGTAATGGCATAATGACATAGTGAAGAAGAATTTCACCTACTTATAAGTATTCCAGATGACTGCATCAGGAATTCAGCAATGCTACGCACAAGGGGAGAACCCTTAAAACGTTCCAGGCAAGTTCTATTTCAGATGTGGGAGGAGTTAAGTGTTACAGACTTTGTACTCCACCTAAGCTATTTGCACAGAGAATGAACCTTGCAACATTATCCCTCTTCCTTTACTATTTACTTGTCCCTGCACTCCCCTCCTGCCAGAATAATTTATGAGCAGTTGTTTTAAAATGTTTCCACCACTTCCATTGGTCACTTGGTTATTGCCCCTGCTCTCATGAATCTGAGAAAGGTAAACAAAGATTAATGCGCAAAGTCCAATTTTATCGTGGAGATGAGATACAAATCTAGTAAACAGACTAAAAGATTGATCTGTCCTTTGTGGTGAAAAATAAAAAAGCAAGCCTTCTATTCATTTTATTGTGTCCTCTGTTAGAATAGAACATCTCCTTTTTCATGTCTGACACTTACCTTCCATCTTATAGCATCCTTCTGTGGTTTGTACTATTTTTTCAGGAGTCGAAATAAATTAACCATATGCTGAGTCAACTACAAGAGAATCCAAATTCCCTTATCTCAGAGGTAGATACTTGAGAGATGAATGGTGGGAGGTTGAAACAATATAAATGGCTTGAGAGGACTCAAGCAGCCTTTGTGGCTGCTTGGTCTAACCAGTGAATGATCCAACCTAGACAGCAATCTTCTTTATCTGGAAATTAATCCTCGAGCCCCACCAAAGATTTGGAGACCTACTGACATCAGCTAGAAGAAAAAGATAGCCATGGAAAGAATGCTGGCTTTAGAGCCAGAATGACCCCTGGATTTGAACCCTAAATTTGACTAGGCAATTGCCTTTATCGCGAAGCCTCAGTTTTATTTCTATAAAATGAGGTAGCAATTCCACCCAACTAAAGTTATTGCAAGGATTAGTCACAGTATATGTCAGGTTTTTGGCACATAGTGCTCATCATTTTATTTCTACTCAAATAAAATTCTACAATAGAATTCGGATGACGAAAGGAACTAAAGTTGCACAGAAAACTTCAGTTATCCAGAGTACATAAGGAATGAATTGTTTTGAGTAATAACATTTTCCGGATAGTTTGAGGTTTACTTTAAGTGTTAAGATACTTTTTAAAATCACTTTGAATAGAAGAACTCTTTCTAAATGTTATACTTTCCCAGACTTTTTTTTAAAACAGAAGATGAGGAGTAAAATTCGAATCCCTTCCTAAACCATTACTTCCAATCTACTATGAGATTTTACAAACATTCACAAATGTTAAAACTGTGTGTAGTCTAAGAGTAAACAGACTCGAAACGAAGACCACATTACTGTCTATGGTGAGTGAAATTCACTCAGTTGTGTCTGACTCTATACAGTCCATGGAATTCTCCAGGCCAGAATACTGGAGTGGGTAGCCTTTCCCTTCTCCAGGGGATCTTCCCAACCCAGGGATCGAACCCAGGTCTCCCACATTGTAGGCCGATTCTTTACCAGCTGAGCCCATTACCAAGGGAAGCCCATTATCTATAGTATTGTCACAGATAAAGACCCTGAGCTTTCATTCATGGATTTTGTAACATTTATTTTGGCTGTCCAGGAACTTTGTTGCTTTTTTAAATTCTAGACTATGCTTTAGTTAGGAGATGACTGGAAATGTGAGTCCAGGCCAGGAAAGACGTTACTGTATTTAGTGCGGAAGTCTCATGACGGGCTTTCCTCCATAAACTGACGGCATGTGACATAAACGCCAAGTTGTAGCAAGGTTTTTTCAACTTACTTCCAGTTGCATGCCCTCCCCAGGTGTACAATGTTATGTAGGGCAAGGATGGGCAGCTCTTTTGACAGGATAAATTGTGATTTGTAAAAATATTTACAAGAACATTTCTTTTAGAAATGTATTTGATAGGAATATGTTTTTAAACCAGTAAGTAAAATATTAATATCTGCGACTGTACCTGATTTTAAACTTTTTATCACTAAAAGAATCTTAATCTGAGGCTAAAATGTCAGAAACTCTGTAGCTAGTATGTGCTGAACTGTTTGATCACAATGCTACACCCTTGAGCAAATTTTGTTGTCCAGTAAGATTTCTGAAGCTGTTTTGGACAGTTCCCTTTAACAGTTTGTTTCTGAGGGAATATTAATATTATTCTTTGACTTAAATTCTCACAATTTAAATGTGTGAGTTGCACTGTGAATACTACATAACAAAATGAGTTCTACTATAATATTCAGCTATCTGCTGGTAAGCCAATTCCCCAAATAATAAATAAACAAGTAAATAACTTTTCCACCAGAGATTGTTCTTTGCATTTAAATGTTGCCAAATTCTCTATGTGAAAACTTAGTCCTCTCAATTTTTTCAAAACATTCCAATGCTTGACATCATGCAGTCAATTACATTTTTCAGTTTGCGCTGGATATTTTGACCTCCTGCAGACACTTCTTTGAGTATATAATAAATATCTGAAACAAATTGTAAGGGCTAATATATTGATAATAATTCTCGTAAGTCTAAAAAATGTGACAAGCGTGCAAGTTTTTCTCCTTCAAAAGACTTGCAGGCCCTGTGCAATGAAACCAGGCTCTTTACAAAACATCAGCA